AGAGAGAGAGAGAGAGAGAGAGAGAGAGAGAGAGAGAGAGAGAGAGAGACTCATGCATACCAGGACATAGAGTTGCCTAGGGTGGGAGAAAGTGGAATCCAGACTTTTGTGCATGGGTCCTGGCCCTGAAGTCCTGGAATGGATGCCCTCCCAACTCCCAGCGACTCCCCTCATTGCAGGCCCTTGTTGCAGCCGCCCAGTGGGCGGTGCCAGGGCAGGTTTCGGGCTATAAAGGGCTCTTGGCTCCCTGGGTCTGAGGGAACGCCATCGCTGCCACAGTGTCCCTGCCAGCCACGGCCAGCCTGGGGCACTACCCATAGCCCACCGCTATCGAGCAGGCTCCTCTTCTGAGCTGCGCTCCTTGAACCTTCTAGCGGCAAGTCCATTTTCAGATTGCTTTGGACTGGATTAGGTGGGGGCCAGAAGGAGGTCTGGATTTGGGGGCTTCGATGGGAGAGGATGGGAAGATTTCCACTTCTCTAAAGTAATTCCTTCTGGGCCAAGTGTCTGGACCTGAGGCCTCCCCAGGTGAGGAGTGCGGTCGGACTTTCCTGTCTACCAGGGAAAAGAGAAAGTTCTTTCCCAGAGGGCTGTTAGGTGGGTGGGTGAGGGGCTCCTTCTAGCCAGGCCTGTCTGTGGCATTGGGAGTGAGGAGTCAGGCCTCTCTGCCAGGTTGAACCTTTTGTGCGTAGACTGTTACTTATTTTTTAAAAAATAGTTGAAGGTACCTGGGTGTGGGTGCAGAGTCGGGGCAAGTCTCCAGAAGGGACAGAGAAAAAGAGAGAAGGCCTGAGGGACAAATCGGCAGTAATGAATGCACCCTTGGGCTTGGTAGCAGTGATCAGCAGGATGGCGCCTCCAAAGAGTCTGGGGGCTGGTGGGGTTCAGGCAGGTGGTAGTTTTGAAGGGGTCGCTGAGTTCTCTGCATAGTCAGACAGCCCGAAGCCATGCTGGAGAATGGGGCATTTAGTTCTGCAGGCTTTAGAGAGGCAGTCCCTAGAACTGGGGGTGATTTTTATAAGACCTTGGGCAGTGGGGGTCCAGCCCCTCCCTCAAGAGCAAGGGCACATTCATGGAATGTCCTCTAACCTGCCCTTGAGTTTCTGGACACCAGAGGGCTACCACTGCCCTTGCGCCGGCGCCTGTTCTGGGGGAGGACACAGAGAGGCGAGAAGGTGGGCAAAGAAAGGAACAATGGGCAAAGAGCAGAAATCGAGGGCAGAGGGGCCAGTTCTTACCTGCAGGGGTTGTAGTTCCCACCTCAGCTTTGCAAAAGGGCCGTGGCAGGCAAGCCCTGCTTTCCCAGGAAGGGACCGGGGCCCTTTTAAGCGGGGTGCAGAGGGACCTCAGAACAGAACAGAGGAGAAAGGGGAGCTGTGAGATGAGCTTTCCAAGGGCTCCTTGGAGCTATCCGTGCAGGCAGAGAGAACTCTGGGGTGGAATTACCCGTCTTCTCCTTCCTCCCAGCGACACCGTCCCCGGACGGCTGGGAGACACTAGGCAAACCCCGTCGGTCCTTAAGTGCCCAGGCATGCTTCCCACCCACCACTGCCCGGTCTCTTTGTCCCCAACTTCCTTTTGTTCCCATTTTCACTCATCGCTGGCTAGAGGAATGAGAAGTTTTGGGGTGAAGAAATCGAAGCATCCACCAGAAAAAAAAAATCAGGGCCTAAATTATGCAAATTGAGTATGAGATGGAGAATTTCCTCTAGTCAGTAGAGTGTGCCCCAACTCGGGGCGGGGGCGGAGGGGGGATATGTTAGTTGGCAGGAGAGGAAGTGGAGTAAGCAGTGGGCAGTTTTCTCATACAAATCCCTCTAAAAATAGTGTTACCTTGCAGCACTGTGCGCAACATGCGGAAGGGAGCTGCGGGTAACCAGGGATGTGTCCAGAGAAGGGCGTGGAAGGGCCACCGTTCTCCCTACGTTGGTGTGTGAGGCTGGCAACACGCAGTCATCCTGGTAGCTCTGTGTCCTGGGTAGTGGCCCTGAGACAGATCTCTGCCCGCACAGGGGTTTCTTAAGCCTGGAGGAACTTGCCTTGCTCCTTGTCTTCAGACTTCAGCAGTAACTGAGGCCTACCCTCCATTTTTCTCTCAGGCCCATCTACCAAGCCTTGCAAATGTCACCTAGGCAGAACTTCCCTTGACCCAGTGTCCCCTGACTGAGGTCCCAGTCTGCTCTGGCTCATTTCAAGGTGCCTGGAGTGTGCTGGGGACACTCCCTGAATCCAGGCTTCCCTGTACTGCAGGCAAGAATTGGAAGCCCTGGATGTTCCTGGGCTGGGAAAGGTTTTTGTGAGTGTTACTGAGATTATCAGCAGCGGCCTGGATGGGGAGGGATGCTCCTCTGGGGACAAGCAGATCGTTTCAAGTTCTGGGTGACAGAAGTATTCTGACCTAGAGCCCTAACCTGCCTCAGGAGACTTACGCGTTGAGTCCTAGCTCAGGGACAGGCCGGAAGCCAATGGCTGTACTCTGTGGCCCAAGGTGAACCTGGAAATGCTTGTCTGTACAGACTCTACCAGGGATCAAAGACAGGGACCAGGATTCAGGGCTGATATGGTCGGTGGTTTTAGGACAGGCTTGTGGATCAAGCCTCCATCTGGCATGAGCATCAGAAGCCCACTCAGGGCACTAACAGATTGTCTCCCCCATGAGTGTGACCAGCAAAGGTGGCTCTTGGTCTCCCTCTGTACAACTAGCCTCTTTGCAAGCATTCTGATCGGCCTGCGGCTCCTCCAAGGAGCCTTGCATATGACCGCTTGCGTGTCTGCCTCTCTCCTCCTCAGTACTCCCTGGGACTTGAAGAGAGACACTTCCCATTAGGAAATGCCGCAGCTGTTGCTGTGGGGCTGGCTCTGTGTCCCCGTGGACACTCTCCAGGACCTCCCCTGGCAGCTCAGCAGTAAGGAGTTAGAATTCCCTCCATGTCCCCTCCCACTTCACACTTGAGTGGGAAGAAAGGCCAGGCAGAGAGGAGCAAAAGGGTCCCCAAAGCCAAAGAGTGGGAGGACATACTGGAAAGGGTGGACTTTTGACCCCAGAGTGGGCAGGTCCTGTGGTTTCGGTTTGGTGGCTGAAAAGGGGGAACTTCCTGGCTGTGGACAGGATCTCGTGTGTACGGCCTTTTATAGGTTCCGTGCCTGCTCTCTTACAGCCTCATTGTGAACCTCTGTCTGACTGTGTTCATGCCCCTCTGCCCACAGGTAGATGGCCCTGTGGTGGGTTTTCTCTAAAGTCATTTTGCCTGAAACAGGCAAAATGGAAGGTGGTACGTCTGGGAATCTTAGGGTACTTCAAGACAGCAGGGCCCCCAAAACTTCCCCAACCAAGCTCTGCTACCATCCCAGAGAGATTGGAATACCGCTGGCCTCGCTGCTCTGGGTTGCCAAGCAGCCCTGTAAATTTTCCCCTAGGTGGACGCTCCCCAGCTCTCTGTTTCTGGGGTCACAGTGGTTAACTAGTGTCCAAGTTCCATCTGTTCTGTGGGGGTGGACAGCTTAAGGGTTCTTAAACTGACCCCCTAGGAGTGCCTTTAAATTGGCTGATTGGAGCTGGTGTTCAGCTAGGAAAAGACAATTAAGGGAAGGGAAGCCAGCCGTGTCCCCTGCAGATGTAGTACCACAATTATCCACCAGGTGGGGTTCCAGGGCAGAGAGTGAGCATGAGCTGACCCTGCGCTAGCAGCCTGAGCCCGGCTGGAAAAGCTCAGCACGCCCGCCTTGTCAGAGCGCTCTCCTAGCAGCACACAGGCGCGCATCTTAGACGCTCTCGCGCATTTTCTGCTAGGGAGCTCTACAGCAGATCCAGTACTGGCTGCAAGGGACGATTAACAGTGTAGGGCGGGTTAGTTTCCTTTACAAGTCCAGCACCCCAAACCATAGTTGGGAGGTCTAGGATGATTTGTTAATATTATTTGCTCCGGGAGTGTGGGAGTGGAATAAGAGGACCAGAGAGGGCTGCGGGAAAACCGGAGGCACCTGGCAGGGAGAGCCACGTACTACTCAGGCAGATGTCAGGGCTGATGTGCACAGCTCCCTCCCAGGCTCTCAGGAGAGGCTATGTGACAGGCAGATCCATGGATGCGCAGATATATACGGCTATGGAGAGACTCCCAGACTCACTTCTCTCCACCAACGTCGGGTCGACGCCAGGCGGGAGCACACGCAGGTGCGACCTGGAGCCATAATCACACTTGACACAGGCACACGCTCTGGACTCTCTGTGGCCGACTCTGAGAAGGTGGCTGCGCTCACCGACGTGTTTACTTATTCAAACGTATCAGTGAACGTTTGTACAGGCCTCCTGGTTGCAGGGGCCACCGCATTTGTCTCAGACGCTGGACGTTTTCCGGGACCAGTATTGTAGTTAGTTAAGGCAATGCTGGCTGCTGAGTTGTAGTTATAGTGGGGGGGGGTGCGGGGGGTGTCCTCGGAGGTGTTAGAGAGGAGTTCAGCGTCAGTAGCCCAGGACAGACACAGGGACTGGTGACCCTCCAGGCCTTGTAGGGTAAGAGACATGTGGATCTTGACAACTGGGGTTTGGAGATGCAGATATTAGGAATGGGGACCCTGGCTAGAGGCAATTCGGAGGGAATGACACCTATGTGGTACTTGCAGTTTTCAGGGTCCCGTGGAATCCCGCGGGATGGGGTGCCGGTAGAGACTTCTGGCAACCCCCAATCAAGGGGGGCAGTCCGACAAGGACCTTCCACGTGGGGACTGCCGGAAGCTGGAGGATGGGTTTGGGGACTTAGGAGGGAGAAAAAGCGGGAGCGAAGTAGCTTAGTAGCCAAACGGGCACCTAGGGAGTGCGCACCGCGCTCCTGTGTCTGCGGTGTGTGTGTGTGTGTGTGTGTGTGTGTGTGTGTGTGTG